TGGAAGGCCTCCTTTCCCCCTTTCCACATGTAACTGACAGACATGATTTGAAACCCCTGAGATAAGTCCCGTCTCCTCACTGGGCATCAGTAGCACCTCCCTGCCCAGCCCGATGCCCCATCTGCTAGGTCTGCTCTTCAGCCATGCGGAGCTCCTCTACACCACACTCCCTGAATTCTGCACCCTTCCCACCCCTGGGCCTTTGCACAAGCAGTACTCTCTGCCCAGCATGACTTCCTCACCACTCTTCTACTCTGCCCCATCCTTTAGGGCCCTGCTTAGGCACTCCTTGCCCCAGGAGCCAAGCGAGATTCTCAGCCAGAGTAACTCACTTGTCCCCAACATCCTGTGGTGTCTCTGTCTGGCTCTGACTAAATCCTGTCTGGGTCAGAGTGATCTGTGATTAAGTCTGTCTACCCCAAGCTGTGATCTGATCTGAGTCATCCGCGATACCCCCCAACCGCAAAGCCCAGCTCAGCACAGGGCCAGGCCCAGAAGAGGTACCCTGGAAATGTCAGAGGGGGCCAGAGACTCCTGTTCCCCACCCACTCCCCATCCCCATTTCACTTTGTTCATCTTGGTGTGAGATCCCTAAGGGGGAAGAGAGGAGATGAGCAGAGAGACAATCACATCTACCCTCCTGGAGCACCCGCTGTCCTCCAGGCACCATGCCAGGTGCTGAGGCTCAGAGAGGGCGAGTGATTTGCTCGTGGCCCATCAGCAAACTGAATAATTGTGCCTGGGGCCAGGTCTGCCTAATTCCAAAGCCTTTAGTAAAAACTGGAGGCACGGAGGGGTTGGTAAACAGAGAGAGGGCAGGGCCACAAATGGTCTGCAGAAGCTGGGCACGGCTCCCGTTGTGCCAGCAGCTCCCTGAGCTGGGGCAGAGTTCTGGGTTAGAACTGGTGACTAGGTCAGCGAGACCCTCCTGTGGCGGCAGAGAGGTGTGAGGGGTCACAGTACTCGCTGAGCTTTCCCAGTTACCCGCAGCACCGCTGAGAGCCAGCTCGCGCCTGGGATCTGCCAGGCGTGGGTCACCCTGCTCCAGCAGACGCCCTCTAGGCCCCTCACATTTACCTTTGCCTGGGCTGCCCCTAGATCAGGCAACCCCTTCCCTTCCCACTTCCCACCGAGACTCAGAGAAAACAGCATGGGCCTCAGAGGGAGACAGTCCTGAGTTCAAATCCTTGCTTTGCCACAGAGTCACTGAAAGACCTCGGGCTGTCACCTCACCCCAGTTTCCCCATCTGTGACATCATGCTGTGCAGATCAAATGGGGCAATGCCCAGCCCAGCATCTGACACCTTGGAGGCGCAGTATGTGGGTGCTGACATTAGTGTCATAACCACAAGGGAGGCCTGTCACATTCTCTCCGACAGCCCTGCCCTCCTTCTCAAGCCCCCGTTGTGTGCTGTCAGACACGAGAGCCCCGCTGAACCAGCATGTGACTACACTAACCACAGGGCCGCCTCCCCAAGCTGTCCCCAGTCATGTGCTGACGGAGTCAGACCCTGACCCTCCCTCCATCCTGTCAGCCACCGCCACCTCCCCGCTCAACCCCATCTCACCCAGCACACTGGGCATTTTAAATGCACGTTCTCACAGCCAACAGAGGCCCAGGGGGCACGGTGCCCCAGTTTACACCAGGAGCCGGCTGTAGAGCTGGGCCCAAACTCGGGCGTCGTGATGCCTGGCCCAGAGCACTCGGAAAGGCCAGGCAGAGGCCAGGCTTCAGAGGCGTCTGTCAGGTGCCTGTCCCTTGCGGTGGCCCACCCACCTCAGCCTTCCACACAGGAGCCTTATCGTCTACCCCAACCTCGTCACCCAAGCCCTCCCCTCCCGCCCCCTCCACAGTCAACCCAATAACAATGGCCCACAGGTCCTGAGCACTGCCCCAGGCACTTGTGGATCTTCCTCCTAAATATTTCTCAGGAGTGGCTCCTCCTCCCCAAGCCCACCTACCCCAACACCCCCGGACAGGACCACCGCAGAAGCCTCCTCTCTGGCCTCTCTGCCTCTCCTTTCTCCAGGACTCCTCCTTCCATGCAGCATGCAAGTCTTATTGTCACTGCCTGCTCCACACCTGCTGTGGCTTCCCACCGCCTTCAGGGTGAGGTCCGAGCTCCCTCGGCCTGGCACCCTGGACCTCTCCAGCCTGACTGCCCACGCGTCCCCCCATACACAGCGTACGAGCCAGCCACCCAGAGAAGGTTGGAGATGTTGGTTCCCCCATGGCCATGCTCCATAAGGCTTGCCCACGAACACTGCACTTCTCTGGCATCGTACCTCTGCCTGGAGCACCCTTTCCCCAACCCTGGGTGCGAGACCTGAAGGCATCCACAGCGGCCCCTCGGGCTGGGGCTAGAGGTATCACTGAATGTGTGTGACCTGCTTTCTCTTCACACGGGGGCCCAAGGACACGGACGGTGCGCCCTCACCCCCAGGGCCCAGCATGTCCTGGTTGTGGGGGACAGGCAAGTCAGAGCAGAGAGCCTTCTGCTCCCACTCAATCCTCAGCCTGCATCTTCCTGAACAGACTCCTCAGACCCCACGTCTTCATCCATAATGTTTCTCCTGCACAGAAAGTCTCCCCCAGCTCCCCCCAAGTCTGTGCTTCCTAAAGACATTCCCCATCCTCAGAGCCACCTCAGACACTTCAGTCCCCTATCCCCAGTGACGAAGGTTTTCTGTCACACACTTGCACACCGGTCTGGGGTTGTGCCCCTGGCAGAGGAGGGTCTGCCACCTCCCTACTCCCCCAGCAGGGCCACAGGCCTCAGACTGAAGTTGGGGCAACAGCAGAGCAGGACCTGGACTTCTGGCTCCTTCACCACTGTAAGCTTTCATAAGCTGATAGCACAGTTTCCTTCCTCACACGAGGGATGCAGACTCAACCTCTGAGACCCGGCAGGGAGAAGTGAGTGGCTGTGGTCACAGAATGGTGAAGACTGACCTGGGACCACAGGCTGTAGGATACGCGGCTAGGGGCGGGGCTATGGGCAGCTGCAGGGTTTCAGTGTGTCTGCCCCTGACTCAAGACCTCTCTGACAACTGGAGTTCTCTCATCTGCTCCCACGGATGAGAAGTGGACATCACTACAGGGGGTGGCTTGGGAAGGGTGGAAGGTCAGGGGCAGGCCAGGAGTCTCTCCAGCCTAGGGAGGCCCAGCCAGGCACAGGAATCAGAGCCGAGGGCCTGGCATCACAGTCTGAGGGGTTCCTCCTACCCTCCCCACCATCTTCTTGTCACTTTCTCAGACTCTCCCCAGCCCTTAAGACTCAGTGCCAGTCTCACCTCCTCCAGGAAGCTCTTTAGGATTGGTCCCTCCCTAAGTCTCAGGACCCCACAGCTTGGAGCAGAACTGCCACAGCTTCCTTTCTCCCATTCAGACTGGACCTGCTGGGCCCTGCTCTCACCCTCTTCCCGTAGCTTAGCCAAGCTGCGGGCTAAGAGACCTCCTTGCAAGCCTGTCTTCATCCTGCTGTCTGCTGTCCACCAGCCTGCAGAGTGCCCAGGCCTCAGAAGGCGTCAGATAAATGTCACCTGCTGAAAAAGGTGCTGGGGCGATGGCTGGTCATTCCAGAGGCCACAGGAGACACATGATCAGGAGCCCAGAGTGATGCCGGGGTTAATGTCCCAGGCCGTGGGGCATTGTAGAGCTGAAGGCAAGAGGGAGGCCTGGGCTGGAGTCCCGTTTCTACTGGTTCTTGCTTGTAACCCTGGACAGTCACTGCCCCTCTCTGGGCCTCAGTCACCTCCTCAGTGCCGGGAGGGGGGGACCAGAGTCTAGTCTAAGCCTCTTCTCTGGACATTCTTGGTGATGGGGGATCAAAGCCTTAAGCCATAAAAAAGCGTGAGACCCTCTCCACCCCCACCACGTAACTGAAAATACAGGTAAGTCTAAACTGTAAAATAAGGAAAAGGAAGTTCAACAAACTGCTGACCTTTCCATGATGACTATTTTGATGTTTTTGAAATATCAAATATTAAAATGTGTCCCAAAACATATGCTTTGCTGGTGCTCTACGCAGGTCTGGCCTGCCTCCTGGGTGGTCAGGCCTCATGGTGGATGCTAATTCTGAGTGCCCTCCCAGCATGGACTCAGCTCTCTCAGACACTGGCACTCACCTGCCGGCCCCCACCCATCCTTCAGGGAGAACTCAGGCTCCAGGAGCCTTGAAACACATCTGCCTGAGGTTCATGTCACTCTTCTGTCAGCTTCTGACCAGCGCAGGAGATCCCCAGGAAGCCTGCCCAGATCACTAGGCAGGACCACCCCAGCCTCAGGCTTGATCTGAGCAGCCTCCAGGGGCTCACTGAAGTGCTCAATCTCATCCCTGGGGCCTTGGGGGCAGGCAAGACTCATGGCTTGGCTTGCCCCAAGTGGCTTCCATGGGAGGTTTAAGGCCAGAATGGGACCCCTCAGGTGACGGGAAGAGAAAGTGCCCCCTCTCCCCACACACAGGTTCTCGTACTGGCCCTAACGTCAGGAACAGGAAGCAGGCTCCCCCAGTGCATTCGCCCTCTACCACACAGACACAGCCCCCACAGTTTCTACCAATGCTCACCTTCTCACACAGTCCTCACCCTCATCAGCTGAACCCCTGCGCTGTAACAGAAGGGTGCTCTGCCAGCCAGGGTGGGCATCATCGGCCTCCACGCTCTGAGGACAAACTTGGCACAGACCCCAGCACCTCCCAGAGTGGGTGCTGTGGGGAGAGGGCCCAGGGTGGGGAAGGGGAGGCAGCTGGAGGAGGAGCAGGGTGGTAGAGCTCTGGAATCTGAAGCCACAGGCTGTCTGTCAGCAGTGTCGACAGAGCCTCAAAAGCCCTTCCGAGCAAGCCTGGGGATCTGACCTACTGAGCAAGAGCATCTCCCTGGGGAAGTTCCCACACTTTCTCTGACCTCTGGCTCTGACTGAGCCCCATCAGAGAGACAGACGGGCAAGGCTGCGCTCAGGGTACAGCAGCGCCTCAGGGCACGGGGTGAGGCTGACTTACTGGTCATGTAGAGCAGACTGTGGAAGAGCCACATCCTAGCTGGAGCAGAGGCAGCGGTGTGAGCCTCGGCCTGTTCAGCTTCCCCTCAGCTCAGCGGCCAGGAGGCGGGGACAGAGGCACGCACACAGGCAAGGGCCCACAGGCACTTTCAAGTATTCAAAGACGCTCCCACTCGTACACAGCTGGCTGCGTGGCTTCCTCAGCAGCTGTGGGCTGGGTCCTGGGAGCTTAGAGACACATGTCAGCCCTGCTCCATCACCCACACTTTCGTGAAACAGTGAGCTGGGGTCTGGCCTGGGAACAGCTCTGGATGTCCTCGGCAGCAGACGTTGGAGGTGCAGGAGCAGTTCTAATCCGGCTGTTGTTTATCATCCATGAGTGAAGCCCAGTCCCCGGCCCTGCTCCAGGATCCCCACCAGACATAAGCCCAGCACCCAGCCCGGGGGTCCTTGGCAGAGGTCACCTCAGCGGGGAGAATGGGGTCTCCCCCTACAGGAGGTGTCCTCACAGCTAGAAACTGGGCTCCTACACCTGGCCAGAGCACTCACGGCCCCGAGGCTGCAGAGGGCAGGTGAGTGGAAAGACCCAATGTATTGAGTGGAATCACTGCCTCAACTCAGCTTTGGCTGCATTCTCTTTAAAACCTGGCTACAGTACCACGATGCTGGAACTAATCTAACAGAGCTCCGAGCTACCAGAAAAATGGAAGAAGTTCCATAAATCTTTTGGCATACCTCTGACCCAACCCAGCATCCCAGGGGATATACTGCCAATAGGCTGCAGTCATATTTAAACGCTAACTTCCTGATTTCTCAAATTTTCCCTGTGCGACCATCTGTCACAGAAGATAGTTTCTCCTGCACCCCTGCATGCCAGATTGTCGGACGTGCAGAGCAGTGCTGACCAACAGGACTCTGCGATGATGTTCTAGCTCAGCACTGTGCAATACGGCAGGCCCTGGCCACGTGTGGCTACTGAGCCCTTGAAACGTCACCAGTGAAATGAGGAACTGAATTTTACATTTCATTTAATTTTAATTAATTTACATTCAAAAAGGCAGGGGACTCTACGTCTCTCTCACAGGACTATCTGCATCCCCAGGGAGAGAGCACTTTGATGTGTTAATATAAGTGTTAAAACATAGCAGACAATGACGTTGAATTAATGACTAGATGAAAATCAACTTCATTGTTTCTCACACTGAAACCTTGCTTGGCCAAAGTTTAGTAAAGATCAATGACACCTAAAACACTTTTGCGTGTCTGCTTTGGTCTGACAAAATACCTATAACTAGTATGAGAGTGCCCTGACCTGACAAGGTTGTTTGAGTAGAGATTATAATTCACCATTTTTCACACTGTACCACCCAACAGAGAAGGTAAACAGCTGAAAAAGCGAAGCTCCAGGTCTGATGCTTCGCCTGCCAGACTACGAGGAGGCCCATCCCGAGTCACAGGTGGGAGTCCTGGCCTCTCTGCCCACCTTTCCAGGGCTGTGACTCTCCTCTCCCCACAGCTGTTTGGAGTGCCAGGGGCACTTGGCAGAGCCAGAGGGGCTCCTCTCCCCACCACTGGTCCAGAAGGTGAAGAGAGTAGCCTCAGGCCGCAGAACAGATGGCCAGCGGAGACAGCCTAGAACCCAGGACACAGCTTGCTCGAGATTGCTGAGAAGCAGGACTTTGCTTTTGGACTGTGAACTTCAGGACACCTCAGAAGGCCAGGCAAAGCTGATGACTGGATGCTGAAGCGGGTGCAGGGCCATTTTCTGCATCTTTGGAGACCTAGAATGCTGATTCATGCTGCATCCATCTAGGATGTATTTACCCAAGCTTGTTGGTGCCAGCATGGCAGACTCCTAATCATGAGTATGCATAGGGGCCCTTCAAGCCCCTGACACCTGACAGTAACTGCTGTGCCCACGAACCCAAACTTAAGATCCCAAGGGCAGACCAGGCTGTGTTGTAATGCTCCCCCTCACAGCATCTAGTACAAGGTTGGGTGTTCAGGAAGTACACGCGTATCCAAAAGGAATGTGAAAGTGGCTTCCTAACTCATTTTAAACAAATGTTAAGGGACCAACATGAGGGACATGCTACAACATAAGTGGACGGGACTCTTCAACAATGTCAATATCCTAAAAGACAAAGAAAGGCTAAGGAATTGTTCCAGATTAAAGGAGACTAAAGAGAGGATACCAAATGCAGTGCATGATTCTGGATTGGATCCTAGACCAGAAGAAAAACTGCTTTAAAAAACATTATCGGAACAGTTGGCAAAATTGAAACATGAACTACAGATTCCATCCTACTGTACTGACTAGATAAAATTATACATTTCCTGAATTTGATAACTATACTATGGTCATATGAGAGAAAGTCCTTGTTCTTAGGAAATGTACAATGTTTAACGGGTAAAGGGACAAGATGTATGCAAGTAACTCTCAAATAGTTCATGGTTCGGGGGGGAGGGGAGGGAAAGAATGATAAAACATGGCAAAATGTTCTTTCTTCTACCCTTAAAACTGTTCTGTAATTTTGAAATTATTTCAAAATGAAAAGTTATGAAAATTACAGGATGGAGGAGACACATTCAGCATGAGGTAAAGGATTAACTGTTCCGTCCTGAGAGTGAGTCCAAAGCACTGATGTCTGCACTCACCAGCAGGTGGGCGCTGTTCCCACAGTCCTGCCTCACAGCCTGAAGAGGCAGGAAATGTTCCTAATTACTCACTTGCCCGAGTCCTAGGAAGCTGGGGGGAGGGAATGTGGAAAAGTGAGGACTTTACTGAGACTAGAGGCGAGGACAGCAGTGGAGGACAGAGTGGGCAAAGAGGAGCTGTGGAGATTGAAGAGCAGTAGTAACCACTACCCTTGACTGAGCGCTCAGGAGGGAGAGCCAGACTCAGGGCCGAGGGCCGTCCACGCAAAGCCCTCATCTGATCCTCACAGACACCCGATTCGGTTGTCCCGATTTCATAGACGAGGATGTTGGCTCAAAGAGAGGTTAAGTACCTTGCCGAAGGCCAGTGGCCAGTAAGTGGCAGAATGAGGACTGCAAGAGGTCTGTCTCCTCCTGAACCAGGACTCTGAACCACTCTAAACCCCACTGCCTTCAGACCCATGGGCCTAAATCCTTCCCAGTTCCTGAGCTTTTAAAAAGCAGGGACCTCATTTCACAAACACACACTGGGATCCTGGCATTGACTGGGTGCATGGACTGAACTGTGTCCCCCCAAATCCATATGTTGAAGCCACAACCCCCAGGGTGACTATCTTTAGAGATAGGGCCTTTAGGAGACAATTAAGGTCATAAAGGTAGGGCCCTCATCCAATAGGCTTGGTGGTCTTAGAAGAGAACAGAGATCTCTCTCTCTCCATGTGTATGCACCAAAGAAAGGCCATGTGAGCACACAGCGAGGTCTGCAAGCCCGGAAGAGGCCTCACCAGAACCCAACTATGCTGGTACCCGGACCTTGGACTTCTAGCCTCCAGACTGAGAACGTAAATTCTGTTGCTTAAACCACCTAGTCTACAGTATTTTGTTGTGGTAGCCCACGCTGACTAATACACTGGGCTACCTCGTAAAAAATCTCCCAAATAAAACACTGAATGGTATCTGTGTGTGTGTTGCGGGAGGGGGACTTAGTAGGGACAGAGCAAGGGAGAGGATCCTCTTGTCCTTTCCTACCTCAGGGGCTGGGGAGGGAGGTGTTGCGCTGGGTCACGGAACCAAAGGTCCAAGGGCTTAGGCCTCTTGCTTGCCCCCACCTCCTTCGTGTCCAGCTACACCCCCATGCTCCTTGGGAAAGTACGGCAAAGACCCTAGAACTGACATTAGTACCAGAAGGAAATCTGGAGCTCAGCCCAGTTGAGCGCTTCATTTGACAGACAGGGAAACTGAGGCCCAGAGAGGTGAAGAGACTTGCTCAGTCTTTTCCAGTTTGTATGTGAGATCGCTCCAAGCCCAGCACCAGCCACCATCCTCTTTGACTCTTCCCAAAAGACACCACCTGAGCTAAAAGTGCTGCCTTTTGCTCACAGGCCCTCCGAGAAATCCTTGCCAATGACAAAAGGGGGCACATCACAGGATTAAGCATGACAACCCCAGGAAGGGACAAGAAGGCCCTGTCTCCTCTCCTGCCCATGATGTGGGCCTCTCGTCCTCACTGACCTGCACCGGCCCAGGAGCAAGGTGACAGTCTGAGGAAACATGAAGTCTCAACTATTGAAGGCCCTGGTCATCCAGAGAGGGCCTTCAGAACCACTCAGACAGACACAGGTGAGAGCCCTGGCGCAGGGGACCCACTTTGCAGGTTCAATACCACCCATACTCCAGAGTGTTATCTAAAGCACAGCAAAATCCCACTTCGATGCCTCACAACTATTTGAAATAGGCTTCTGAGGCAGCATTCCTCTAATTGGTGCAAGGAACATCAAAGTTCTGTGAGGAGATCCTAGAATTTCATTTGACAAAATGCTACAGTGTTTTTTCTTCTAAGATTTATTTTACAAACATGTAAGAAAAGTTTTATTGTTGGTCAGATTATGCAATAACAATCTGCCTTAAACCAAGTGTGCTATTCTCAAGATTACCAAAAACATTCTGTCCTTTTAGTTCTTAAAAGAAAAAAAAAAGGCTTAACTTCTAATTTATTTGTTACGTAAGGTTTAAAAGCAAATACTTACACAGCAAACTTAGTTGTGCAGCAATTAATCAATGTGTGAAGCCATGATTTGCTGTTCACTTTGATCCAAACTGCCTGTGAGCATCGTCCCATAACTGCAGGCACGTTCCCTAAGAGCTGGAATGCTGCTTTACGCAGAAGTGCTGCTCCAGGAACGAGCTGCTGCTTCTCGCCTTCTTTGTACTGCCGTCCCTTCCACACCAACAGGACCAGAGGGTGAGGACTGGCTCACCAGTCCCTCTTTGGGGTCTTTCACTCACCCGCCAGCTTCCTTTCCTGCTCTCCTGTGGCAGATGAATGCTTTCTAAAAAATATTCTGGACTATTTATATGATTCTCTAGCAAATTCCTTATAAAGCTAGGTAAGCTTCAGCTCAGATATGGCCAGATCATTGAAATTTGAATTTTATGGAGGTCTAATTAATGAGATTTTTTTCTTATGTAAGTACAGTTTACGCACTTCTGAGTAATCTTCCTCATTCTGAAATCTGGTGGTCTCAGCTAGAAGCAGACTAGCCTGCAGACAAAGGTGCCAGACTTGGGCAGGGTTACCACAATTTACTCATTTACCGAACACTTTTTAGGCACTTCCTACTCTGGACTGGCCTGGTGGGAGGATATAGAGACAACAACACGAAGACACCTGCTCATTATGAGCTCACAGGCTAGTGGGGAAAATAAAACATGAAAATAAAGTGTTGAGGGTACCAAGCAGGAAA